CATGGTCACATTAGATATGAGTTTAGATGAGCAAAAGTGGACATCACGTTGGTTTCATACGGATTACTTCATCAGAGAATATTTGTTTTCGACATGACACTTCATTTCAAGCTTTCTATGCATATATTTATCATGTCTTTGAGGCAAGTATTGGTGGCGGTTCAGGTTGTTTTATTTATGTGTCTGTGAAGAGAGATGACAGAGACCGAGACGACAGAGAGTGCACCCTGTTTATTTTCTTTATTTTACAAAAGCACATTTTTTTTATTATGACTATACACAAGTAGACCCTTTGCAGTTTCAAATGACGCACCGCTCCTGGAATGCATTGCTGGACTGCAACCGCGTGCAGTGTTAATGCTTTGATCCGTTAACATGGGTGTGGAAAAAGTACGCACCGCATACGCACTGCAAACAGTGTGTGAACCTGGCGCCAGATACAGAAAAGCAGTGCAACGGATGTAATTTAAGCAAGGGGTTGAGAGGTAGCTTATTTGCAGCCCTGTCCCTAATTTGGTTTTAAAACAGCCAAAAGAATTTATAAAACGGAAGGGTTAAAACAACACAGATAAAACTGTTAATAAATTTGCCCACAAGATTGTGTGGATGTAACATATATGAAATTACCATATGATGATTTGTAAACAAATTTGACGGGAATCTAAAAGTTAATCAGAATATGTTTAGATTTAACACTGTTTTTTTTTTTTTTTACATCTTTTGTTTGGGCCTGTATCATCTGAGAATAATAGCAGCTGTTTTGTCTTTTTTACTCTTCAGAAGATGAGGTGTCACTTTTTGTTTTTCAGACGGATGTTCTGACCTCTTCTCCCCTCAGAAAGCAGCTGAACAATGCAGTGAGGATGGGGGTTCAGATGTAGTAGGTGAGCTGGTGTTTCTCATGAAGTCCAAATAATCATGAACACTGGTTAGGCCAGGCTTTAGTGTTTCACTATCAGCACTTCAGTACAGGTGGACATTGAAGTAGGTGAGTTCATTACAGGGTTGGTACGGACATGGAAAAGTCACGGAATTTTAAAACGGCAATTTCCAGGCCTGGAAAAGTTTTAGAAAAATGTATAAACCCAGGAAGTTTTGGAAAAGTCATGGATAATTATTTCACAAATCTCTGTACAATAGCATATATTTTTAATTAGGTCCTGAATTTTGGTGTGGGATTGCGCTAGGGATGTACATTTTCAATAATTCCCATGTTCGATTATCGTGTAAATTAACGATCAATTAATCGATTAATCACTAACCTAAATACTGCAAAATGCCTCTATTGCAGTTGCATATAGTCACAACATGAAAAGATGCGCAAATGCCACTCAAAACGCCAGCTTCCTCAGCTGAATGAAAAGGTTTTTTTAGTCTATTTATTTAGGTTTTTTAAATAAAAGGCTTGTAGCAGGATTGTAAAATGAATAGATGTGATCCTGAGAGTTTAAATATTAACAGGAACAAAGCAATCTTTCTACTAAAGCTGGGTGATATGAAAAAATATTTTATCGCTGATCGTCTTAAAAATATTGTGATATCCGATACTATCGTCCACCTGAGCTCCGCCCCCTCCAGAGACCGTGTAGCCAACACGGGGTGCAAGCACACATTGGTTTGGCTCCACTTTATCTGACAGTAGTTGAAATGTAAATTTATTTTATTTTATTTTATTAGTTTGTGCTTTAACATGATGACAAAGCTAATGCTTTAAATTAGTTTGCGTTAATCATTTTCACACTGCTCTTATCAAGTGTTGAATTTTGTTTAGTGAAGAGCAGTGTTGGTTAAGTTACTTTCAAAAAGTAATTAATTACTAATTACATGATCAATATTGCATTTAAATTACTTTTCTAATTGCTCTCTGACAAGTAATTTAGTTACTCCATAAATAACTTAATTATTCAAACTGTTAATTACATCTTAAAATCCCTATTATCCTTAAAGCATAGACAATAGAAATTAAACTCCTTATTCTTTCAATTGGAGTCAAACATGGAATAGTTACGTGTTTTTGTTTTAAAACAACTGTAATACTTACATTTTTTATTAAAATGTTTAACCTTCTTTGGTTAACAAATAGAATTACTCGATAACAAAAAAGCTTAAAAGTTTAGCATTACATGTATCAAGCTGTAAGCATTCAACTTTTCAAAGCAATGCGTAGCATATTTCATACAGACATACTGTACATGTATTGGCAGTCACTAATAATAATTTTACCTACTAACAAAAAACATTTTGTACTTTCATTCATGCACATATGCTTTGTATTACCACACAGTACATAAATAATATTCCGAAATTTTATAAACTAAATTCTTATTGCTTGGCACATTATTAGCATCAACATGCGATAATAGATCAATAAACACTGATCTAAACATTCCTAGACTGTAACATTCATCACGTGCTTTATATCCATTGTATTATATATCATATTTTTAATATAGGATAGCAAAAAAAAATTACATCCTTGTTTCGTATGACATTTAGGCTAAATGCAATAAAAAAAGTTGCCTAAATGTCTGAATGTATGTCATATTTTCAGCATATTCCACTCATTTGCTCACATTTCAGTTGTTTAGGAAAAGCTCAGCTAGTAAAATTTATACAAGTTTATGCCGCTGTCTTTCCTTTTCCGTGAACTTGTTTGTGGTGGAGAGAGCGTTGCAAAAATAAATCTAAACTCCGCATATAGGCTACTGCTTGTCACACAATTTAGTTTATTTTGTTTTGTTAATCTAATCTGTTAATTGAGTAAAATATATTTCATGTATTCATGTATTTTTGTGATTTGTGCATAAAGTCCATTTACAGAATGTCTGCTTTTTGTTAAAGACTGTTAGTCATTATCAGCGCTTCAGTACAGGTGGACATTGAATATCCCACAATACCTGAGGATCCACTAACTAACATGTGCTAATGTTTGTCTGTTGCAGATCAAGAGCAGCGAGCAAGCCGGGGCCAAGAAGCCCTCCTCACCAAAGAAGAAAAAGAAAAGAGTTGCTGACCTCTTCTCCCCTCAGAAAGCAGCTGAACAATGCAGTGAGGATGGGGGTTCAGATGTAGTAGGTGAGCTGGTGTTTCTCATGAAGTCCAAATAACCATGAACACTGGTTAGGCTAGGCTTTAGTGTTGTCAGGTACAGGGGCCCGTGAAGGGTACACTTCAGTACAGGGGCCCGTTCTTCATATGTTGCTTAATACATCTGAGCTGATTTGAAAAATGCCAGATCTTATAATTCGTGATAACTGATCTCTGGTTAATTTGGTTCTTCAAACAAATTTGTGTAGTTGATTAAAATATCTGGATTAAGTTGTCTTAGATTACGGTGTGTTTTCGTGTTCCCCGAAAAGGGCAGATGTATCAATACTCGAAACCACGATCAGCAATGCAGCGATTGGCTGGTGGCAAGACCGCAATGTAATGACATCATATCATTAAAAAAGACACCTGACGAAAAAGTTGACACATTTCTGGACTTTTATAAGGAAACAGCAAAGCAAACAAAACTGCATACGTGTTAGAGAAATGAAATGTGCACTGTTTTTATTTTATTTAAAAAAAATGTTTTAACATGATTTCCAATTATTTATACCTATTCACGATTTCTGGTATTTGTACAGGCTTTACATTTTTATTTCAATGTCAATTAGCAATTCATTTAATTTTATCTTTGAAGCAGATTTGTTATGTGACCGCATTAAAGTTTCTTAAGAGTCAAGATCAAGTTATCTGCATCTCCAAGCCACTCATTATAGCCGTCACCTCTCAAATTAATGCACGGCTCAGATTAACTGTATAGCATGCGTGTAAGACTCCAACACAATTATAAGTAATTATTTTATCATAAATTTCAATGAGTAAAACTGGCTGTGTCTATAGTATTATAGACTACACAACATTATTATATTTTCAAATTAATGTTTTAATTATTATTTTAAATTACTGTCCCTGTATCAGTAGGGTACTCTTGTAATAATGTAGCAGTGTCTGGGACAGATTTTAAGTATCAATTCTGCTTCCAAAGATGCAATCTAATCCTGTTTACATGAAATAAGCTGCTCCTGAGCAGGTTTAAGCTTACAGATCTGTTGCTATGACGGCAACTCCGGGATGAGCCAAACAATCCAAGATCAAGCCAAATCATCAACAGTCAAATCCAGCTAACGGAGTTAGCGACGTACGAAGAATGGACCCCAGGTGGACATTGAACATCCCACAATACCGGAGGATCCACTAACTAACATGTGCTAATGTTTGTCTGTTGCAGATCAAGAGCAGGGAGCAAGCCGGGCCAAGAAGCCCTCCTCACCAAAGAAGAAAAAGAAAAGAGAGAGAAAACTGGGGAAAGCTAAGGGTAGGTTTCATAAATCTTTGCAACTAACAATTTTGATAACTGATGAATCTAATGATTATTAGAACAATTGTCTTTACAGTAAGAGCATAATACACATCTCATGATTCAGTGTAGTATACGATACTGAACTCATGGTTCATGATTCTTTTAACTGAATCTGTTTTAAAAAAAAACATTTAGGCCGTGTGTCCACCAAAAGGCTAGCATATATTTTTTAACTGCTTTCAATGGAAGCGCTGCATTTAAAAAAAAAAACCCCAGCAGCGTGAAGAGGTCCTGAGCATCTATTTAGCACTGAGCGCTCTGCATTTATTAATCAGTCCCTGAGAGTTGAAGAATGTTCAACTTTGAGTCAAACGCAGCACTCATCACTGTCACTTTTTACCCAGCAGTCCAATCAGAGTGGAGAACAACCCTATAAACATAATTTTAGTACTTCAAATTACAGTGTGTTTGTTAAAGTTGATATTAATAAAAAATAACTTAATAGTTAATAGGGATGTGCGATATTGAAGAAAAAATGCGATATGCGATACCTTGTTAAAAAATGCAATATGCGATACGATATTGCTTAGTGTATAAAATCAATTTAAAAGATTTTTTAAAATAATTAAAAATTAAAATCTCATAACCAATTTGTTTCACATTCTTTCTTGGAAAATAAAGAATCACTACAACTTCTGAAAGTGACCAGCAGTTTTAGCATTACTTAAAGTAATGTCACAAATCAGAAAATGTCATTTTAACATCAGTGTGAACATGCAAACAAAAAAAATTATTACACAAATTTTAATATCATTGTAACTTTGCTTTGTGGTGTGGTCACCAACAGAGTCGACCCTGACATCCAGTGTAGGCAACTGTCATCCGTTAAGAGACTGAACGCCAGTGGGCGGAGCCTATGGTGTGATGATTTATAGCTATTGGTCGATGTCTTGCTCTAGAGGGGGTCATATGCAAATATATTTCCCCACGTGACATCACCGATCCCACAATATCAAAACAAGCTGTTTTTGGAGCTTTATTAAATAAATGCTTTGTTTGTAATGAGGAGGACATCTTAAGCTATGAAACTTGCAGGATGTTTTAATGGTACAAAGACCTCTTATATGCTAAAAGTTCAAGGCAAATTTGATTTCCAATGTCATGACCCTTTTAATTGTTGTTTTCTGCAATGTTCCTTTGGATTTTGTTATTCCAAAGGCTTCAACCAAATCATGCATTCACTTACTTTCTGTGACCGTGTGCAAGCAAAAGCAGTTTAAGAAAGCTACATTTTGGTCTCTGTTTTTTATGGTTATACAATCTTTATTGTCTGTCTTGTCATTTGTAGAGACAACCAGGATAACAGTGAAGAGACCATGGTGTGAAGAAGAGAGAAGCGCAGTAAACAAACATCTAGCAAGGTTTGTGGCAGAGCGCAGAGTTCCTGGAAAAGCAGACTGCATGAAGTGCCTAGAAGAGGAAAAGGTCCCGAAGGAACGATCTTGGAAGGATGTTAAGAACTTTGTCTACAATACAATTGTTGCTATGAAAAGGAGGTCTGCTTCACGAATGCTTCTGTTTTAAAAGCTACAAATCATGTCCAGTTGTTCTGTTGGCCTTCATGTTTAGACACTTGTTCGTGTTAATTTCTCTGTTAAACCGAGCTGGTCACTGGTTCATCAAATTGCACCAATTAAAGAATTGAACATAAACGTTTAAGTAGACTGTTTTTGAACATCAGTCTGAAAATTATTAATCTAATTTAAATTAAATTATTATAATTTTTTTGCATTTCTCAGGCAGCTTTATAGTGATTAACAGAGAAATTCAGCTGATGTTAGTTCAGTTCAGTTCAGTTCAATAATGACTTAGAGCTGTCAACAAAAAAAAATAAAAAAAATAATGTACTTAAAATAATCCAGTCAGAAACGAACTCGATAGCGCCCCCATGAAAATGTCCTCACTCAGCTGGTAAAACGCTGGTTCTTTTCCTTTGTTTTTTAAATAAGCCAAGGTGAAAATGTGAATCACGGAGACACCTAGTGTTAAAATATAATATACATTTACCTGTAGTTGTGGCAGAAATGGTGGTCCTCATTTTGCAGGTTAATTTACTCGGTCCTCACATTGACTGTCATACAGGAATGTGTGTGTGTGAGAGTGAGAGTGTGTGTGTGTGTATGTGTGTGTGTGTGTGTGT